ATTTAATCTATGCCCAAAATTGGAGGAGTACCTGTGTTAAGAATCCCTCCACATTGTAAGCTGTGAGCTGGTGAGATGGCTCAGCACAGAAAGTATCCAAAACTGAGATTCTGAGTCAGTGTTGCACTCTCCCTGGCAGACTGTTTGGGATGGAGGTGATCAGAGGTGTGTGTTATAATGACACAAGGCCCTGCAAACCAATGTTTGCATTACACTGCCTTAAAACTTTTTGAGATTCAGCTTGGAAGAAAGTAGATAAAATATATGTAGGTGTGTAAATATTGCTTTATAACCCAAAAGGAATTTGTTAAGTCCCGGTAAACCTGAGCAGAACCTGCAGGCAAAAAAAATCACAGAAATATCCAGTTACTTGATTTGTTGCTATAGATATGTAACTGAGTTATAACTTTTTTTATAGGCATAAGTTGTATTTAGAAGGTGTCTTAAAAATATGGACAGTGTCTTAAAAATATGAACCCCATATGGAGTCTCCCAATATGATAGGGAGAAAGTCTGTATTTCCTTTTAGTTTTGTTTTGTAAGAGCTCTCCAGTTTTGTAGTCACATGCCCCTTTTGCTGAGTGCAGTAGTCTTGACTGAGATTTTTAGGAGTGAGTCAGAGCAGGAATCGCCAGAAAAAAAAATTAAGAGCTTGAAAGTGGAAATATTTCAATGAAAGTTATTCATAAGGATATTTAAAAACACAACCAAAACCCTCTCCTATCTTCTATGGTGAAGTCACCCCAGTATTTGCTCAGTTATTTACCTAAATTAAGTTGAATTTAATTCTTCTATAAAGGGCTTTGATTTAACCTTCAGCAAATTCTGCACCACATAATTAAGATCAGCGAAACAAATAGTCTGTTCAGAAGAATAAGGAAAGAACAGAGAGTGCAGAACACCATAGGGAAAAAAGGAAAGGAATCTGACCAGGCTTATCCAACATTATGTTCAAATTAGGTGTACATTTTGCAGGGCTGCCTAATTAACTTTATGGTAAAGAATTAATTCTAATCCAGCACATATCTCTGAAGCTGGCAAGCTGTTCTTCTGAATACATTTAAATTTTACTCAGATTTCCATGACTGAAGGAAATACCTTTTCCTTTTCTCCATCCTTTCTTTGAATAAAAGTTTGACACCCAGATGCTAGCAGGGCAACTTTTGGTAGCACTGGAGATCTTGTCAAGGCAGATATTAGGACAGCCAGTGAAAACAGAAAATCCCAATAAATCGTGTGTCATTATTTGGCACTGAAGTGAGAACAAAAGTGCATTACATACCAGGAAATAGCAAAAACAAACAGTGGAAAAGGAGAACCTCGTATTTGCTTGCTAGCTTCTTATAATAAGAACCATTAAAAAAATTCCATGGCTATTACCCCTATGCCCCAAGTGTTTATTTACACTGGAAGATTAACTTCAGTAATTGTACATCCAGAGACAGATGTATGTAATTCTCTGTGTGGCACTTATAGTTAAGAAACAGAATCTTTTGAAAACTAACACCACTTCTGCTGACTGCAGTACTGAATTCTTGCCTGGGTGTTACCATCGTTGCTAATGACTCACTGCCAAGGTAGACAATTCTCTTTTAAAGATGCTGATGGGGTTTTTTTGAAAATTAAGGTCATTGTTAAACCATTCTACTCAACAAGTGCTGATTTCACAGCAATTTGGGACACCAGTCAATGGGCATTCTTTATAATTAGTGCTAAAGTCCTTGTGTGTGAGAACTTATCTACAAATCTTGCAAGTGGAACTTAGCCAAGAGGGCTTTAAAAATATGTTGACTTTGAATGTCAGAATTTAAGACACTTTTTGCCAAATTTAAGCTAGATTAGAAGAAGGAAAAAAGTTCTGCCTTAGTTCAAGATCTAATCTTTGCGTTTTCGTGCCTTCTTGATGCTTTTTTGTGAATGTATATGACTGAAGGAAAAACTAGACACAGTAACAATTTCGTACAGTTTGGCTTACTCTGTGGTAGCATAAATGAAACCACAGTGTAGGTCTTCCCTGTAAAAAATAATATTTTGGCAATATTTTATTTAGTTGTTGTCCACTAGCGACATGTTCTGAGGCGAGGTCCACTCTTAGGTTAATTATACAGAATTGCAATCCTTTCAGAGCTGACAGCTGCTATGTGTCTCTTTTTCATAGCACATGTCCACAGCACTCTGTTTACAGAGTTTGCAGAGGTGGAAAACCATGACAACTCTCACACTAGAGAAGATGGATGTATTCGTACACAAGACCAGTGAGGGGTTGACATAATACGTGATATGAATTTAGAGGACCCAAAGGAGCTTGGGAACCAGCTGCTGCTTGTGACCAGCCAGTACACTGAGAAAGATAAACCTAAGATATCGACAGGTCTAAAAGACCTGTGATAGTTTGGTTTGCTGTTTTCAAGGTAGGTCGATCCCATGACTCCTTGAATTGTTGCTGTACTTCTGCAAGACCAAGTGCTGACTGGATTTGTGGGACTTTTCTTTATTCTCCTAGTTAGCTAAGTGATGAATGTGTTACAAAGACCTAACTGGGCATGTGGAATTGCTTGTCACATGATGTTAATGTCACAATTTTGCACTTATTCAGGGTCACAGACATCAAAGTCACCCTGTAGGGAATAATAACACAGAAGGACATTTACTGATGCAGCTAAGTAATATAATGAGCTAGCACATCTTCAAGGCAGAGAAATAGAGTCAGAAAAGAAAAATGTTAATTGTTTCTGAATGTCTTTTAATTAATGTATTGGATTACTTTTCAACAGAACGAAATTTACTTCCCACCACTTTTAACTTTTCTCAGCTGTAAATAAGAATCCACAAATTACTTGACATTCCAGACTTCCTTTTTTTCTAGGCTTTCTTTTTTCCTTTTTAAATAGTAAGATCTAAGTTAAGGGAGTCTGTATAACAGATTTCTAACAAGAGCAGTTGTACTTCTAGATGGGTGAGGAGGAAAAAGCTTGGAATTGTAGAAAGTATGAGGCCAGTCTTCGCGAATGAAGATTTGGGGAAAGGTCTTTTTTTTTACCTTTCCAGCCTGCGCAATGGATTTTTTAGGTGAGACACAGCCTGCGCTGAACTGAGCCCACCCTTTAATCCTAAGGTTCATCTGCCGGGGCCAAGCAAGCTTGGACAATGGCAGTGAGGTCCTCAGGACGTAGGTTTGTTTAGAGTGACCTTCTCATAGATGGATGGCCTCACAGGGCTAACGAGCTCCATCTGCCTGGGAGGACTGGGATTCGAACCTGGGTCGCAGCGGTGAGAGTCCCGCATGCTAACCACTAGGCCACCAGGGGTCCCCCAGAAAGTATGAGGGGAGGGTCATTAGAAAACAGCGAATAAATAGCACAAACATGTACAGTGTTCAGAGAATTCCATAAAATATCTCTTAAATCAAATTATTGAGATTACTTTCTGTATTGGTAGGATAATGCTTTTGATGTTTTAGTATGCTTCTCTAAGATTGAATATTCTGGTAGAATTCAGGGCAGACCTGAGCATCAAGATGATCAAAAATCTTTACAAACCTGTGAATGTCTAAATAGCTGGTAGGACCTCTTTTGAAGTCACCAGAAGGTCCTCATTGTGAACCCTTTTTCTGGAGCATCTGTCATGTGAGGAGAGACTGAGAGAGCTAGGACTGTTCTGCCTGGAGAAGGCTCAGGAGAGAACTAGTCAGTGTGTATAAAGACCTGATGAGAGGGAATGAAGATAAGGGGACCAGACTCTTCTCAGCCATCTCTGCCATCAGGACCAAAGGCACTGGGCACAAACTGAAACATGAAATTCTATCTGAAAACAAGAAAACATTTTTTAACTATGAATGTGATCAAACACTGATAAAGGTTTGCCGAGAGGCTGGTGGAGATATTCAGAATCTGACTGGACACAGTCCTGGGAAATTGACCCTGATGTGACCCTGCTTGGGAGCAGGGGATTGGCTCAGTGACCTTCAGAGATCCCTTCCAACCTCAGCCATTCTGTGATTCTGTCATCACAGAAGGCAGGCTACTGAATGAGTCTGGAATAGCAGATCTTGTGTTTATAGGTGACTTAATTATCACCCTCACACAGTACTCCTGAGGACTGATCATATACAACTTGCCCTAGTTCCTTATGTTCCTTCTTGTTATGGTTTCTTTCTGTGTGCCATAGACTCAAACATTATTTCCATGCTGACTTTTCCAGTGATCATGGACTTCAAATTACTCTCTTGTTCAGCTTTGAAAAATAAGACCAAGTCTGGAGCTGAAGAGTAGCTGCGGAAGCCTATTCTATTTTTAACTCTGCAGCCCTAAACTTTTCAGATTCACTCTACTGGATTTATCAGTTATTGTCAAAAATAGCTCTAATTTACATAGTATCACAAGAAAACTAAAGCATGATTTCTTTAAGTATTTCTCATAGGCTGATAGCATTGAAACATTTGTAGTGATTTTTTTCCTCCTTTCACAGTAATTTTTAAATTATGAAAAGTAACTTTTCTGATAGTAAGCCATCTGAAAAGAAAGCCCTCACCTCAGTCTGCTGTCTGACCTGCTATATCTCTTAGTAAAATTTATCTTTGAGTAGTATATATTGCTTGTCTTTGATTTGAGAGTGAAGGTGAAGGGATGAAGATGATTCCAACATAATTTGGTGCTGGGAAAAATTAAGCTTCTGTTCACTTTCCTCCCCTATTTTTTATATGTTTTCTCTGGCTTTATCTCTTGATGCGGTTCTTTTGAACTTGAACCTCTCAAAGAATATTTGTGAAAAGATGATGGAAGAGATACATTTAAACCAAATGGTTCCTTGCAGGATACTCTGGGGTGTACCAAAGCTTATGGAACTTGAAATCTTTTTGTGTCCTGGGGTTCCCTGCAAGCAAAAACCACAATCCTGTGCTATAAATAAAGAGAATTACCACAAGCCCTGGGACTGTAGGCATGTGGAAATCTCTCTGATACTGACATCTGCTTGTTTTATCCTTTTTTTGTGCATCTCAGGCAATGTAACTTGTGAGCAATTCAGTGGCAGCAAAATCCTTGGCTGGGCGCGTGTCTCTGGATCAATGCCCTATGCTACTTGACCTCTGGACCTGTGAAACTGCTCTCTTGGGGAAAAAATGCCAGGTACAGAAGCTTTTCTTGGTCTGAAAACAGTAATTTGCAATCAGTTCACTTCAGGTTGTGTAAGGTTTCCTTTCAACATGTTTCCTGTTGCTTATACAAAGATGCTAGAGCCAGCAACTGTGTATATTCTATAAATATTAGTATATAAATTTATTTTCTCATTGTTATTTAGTCTTTTTGAGCAAAAAAAATGCCATGCTTTATTATGTAGTTAAAAAAACCAACAACAAACAAACCAACACTTAAATGTGTATTAAGCAAAGCATAACATTTTTATTCACAATGGCTGCTGCATATTCTGAGGGCTTTCCCCTTCCTCCCTCTGATTCCAGACATATGACTGTATTTTGTCATGGGACATGGAAGCATACAGGGTTCCTGCCCAAAGATTTGAACCTTAAAAGGTGAGGATTGGACAAGTTCAGAGAAATGGACCCAGAGGAGTCTGGAAATATATTTCTCTCTATGGGACTCAGTAGTCTCAAGGACAATTCTATGAGGGTCAGGAAGTGGAAAGGAGCTGATAATCCACTTCAGAAACAGGGAGAAATGGCACTAATTGAGGTTGCCTTCACACACTTGAAATGTTTTGTTCTCAGTCCTGGAGCAACAGGGCAGCTCTCAAAATAGGAATGGTAGAGGGTGTTAAGGAATCTCCTGTGTACCCTTGAAGAGGCTTTAAATAGAAAACCTTTTAAACTAAAAGTATGTAGTTTAGGAAATCTCCTAAGGCCACTCTCCCATTTTCATAGGGGAGTTTTGTGTTACAGAGCTATATAATATACCGTCTAATTGCCTAGTTCACCAAGCTTCTGCCCTCATCGCAACAGACTTTGCTTTCTACTACTGTATGATCATGCTACCCCTGTGAATCTACCTTTCATTTTTATCATGGGTCCTCTGTTTAAGGAAACTTGCTTTATTTTTTAAAGAAAAAACTCCTGCTAGAGAAGAATGAAACCTCTACAGCAACAATACGGTAATTCTCTTCCAAAACCATCAGAGTATATTCTGGAATTGCTCTCACAACCCAGCTCTCTAGGCAGGGTTAAATGTGCTGTTGCTGGAGGTCTTTTGCTTTTAGCTGAAATGGAATGGAAATGGGTCTTGCTGACTTTGTTAACATGTGGGACAGAGTTCATGCAGAAGAATGAGGAAACAATAGCACTTTGTCCAGCAACTGAGACAGCTTAGCTTAACCAATATAAAACTTGCTAATGGCCTGTTGCTCAAGCACTGCCTTAGCTTCCTCAGAACAGTTCAGGTCAGGCAGGTTCTAAATCAGACAACTTGACTGTTGAAATCTGCGTTCTCAGCTACTGAGTTACCTCCTAAGCTTTTCTATTTCTTCCTCTTCCACAATCTTCTGGTTTCAGTAAGGAAAATAGTGTAAATGCTTTTCTACTTAAGTGTCAATGCAAAAGAGTAAGATCTAGATCATTGCATATTGCATAATGCACATTATCAATATGTTCATAAGGAAGAGCACTAGACATTCATATTGGCAATCTTCTAATTACCATTTGACCAAAAAGTACTACAATATCATCTAGAGAGTTCCCACGTGTCATTGTGCTTGGAACATTTCTTTTTCTGACCTATGCTGTGGGTATTTGTAATTAAAACTTTTATTTAAAAGATCCTTTAGAGCTGTTCTTGGTAAAGGAGCCTAAGGAGGGCTTGAGTAGTTGTACATCTTTAATGACATCTTCAATTAATTTGGAGTTTCTCCAAAAAATATAAAGTAACAGTGACAGTGACTGCCAAATGTGGTAATGGAAAGTCTTGCATGAGCCTGCAGGTTTCAAGTTGAGGGAAATTGAGTTTTTCAAATATATGAGAATGGATTACTTGTGGAAAGGAACAGGTGTCTTTAGAGCAGTAAGTACATTGCCTGGTACTTTGTAAAAGGAAAAATGGGTAGAATAAAAATCTTTATGTTTCAGTAGAAAAAAACAAAAGTTAGCTTCACAAGATTTGGAAGAAACTTCTCCTGTGAGTGGTTTATTCTATGTTCTGTTCTTGAGCCTTATGATGAAGCATTCAGTAAAATCCTGTACTAGAAACATGATGCTGCACCAGCTCACTGCAGCAACCACCATGTTCAGAAATCTCTCCCCAGCAAAGAATGAATATTTAGGTAAATAAACATTTCTAAATGTGCTTCTATATGTTTACTTTGAAGCTCACCAGCATGCTTTGAAACCCAGAGGAAAGATTCATTTTGGCCCAAGTGAAGATCGAGATCATGTATAAACCTCCATGGTTTGATCTCAAGCTTCAGTGTATGTCAATACCTACATAGATGAATGTATGTGTTTGCAACTTCACCTCAAGCTGCTGAGGGGCACAGTAAACCAATAAGTAGGTTGAATTTACGGTACAGCCATGTTGGGTGAGTAGGAGGTGAAATCCATGATGGGAAACTGATTAAAGCCTGCACGGGTTTACAGTGTTAAGATGGGTCACTACTAATATAAAAATGAAGTCCATGGATGTTTTGTAAACAGAAGGCCTGATGCTCAAGAGAAAGCTATAATTTCCTCAGCATAAGAAATAAAATGTTGGAAAATTGCAGTTTCATATGTCATGCCACATCTGGTGTTGTTTGTGACAATTGGAAAAATAGTTGAGAGGCATGGAAGGCAAATAAAATGATAGCTGTGAATTACTGCACTTATAATTAAAGCACAGCATTTCAAATCCTCATGTTTTTCCTCTGGTCTAAAAATCTGCCTCAGCTTTCCTCTATATCTTGCCACAGGATATTTTCTTTCTCTGAGCTTTGATTTCAGAGGCTGCAAGTTGGGAAGTTTAATTAGCTAGCTTTTGTAACTTGTCTTTTAGTCCACAAATGGAAGTTCAGGATTTGGTGCAAGAGGCTATTGTTGTGTACTCTAGCTATATGTGAATTTTATTGGCTAATGTCACTTGTGTTTATTTATAAGTTTTAGGCAGATGCCCAGAGGGAATACACCCACAAGACTTGTTTGCTTCTGTTAGAAGCTTCCCCCACATCCGACAGAGTCAATGCCAGCTGGGCCCAAGATGGACCCACTGCTGGTCAGTGCTGAGCCCAGCAGTGATGGTGGTAGCACCTCTGGGATTACAGATTTAAGAAGCAGGAAAAAAACTTGTGCAACAGTAACTGCATTCAGAGAGACAAGTGAGAAGAAACAGCCCTGCAGACACCAAGGTCAGTGTAGAAGGAGGGGGAGGAAGTGCTTCAGGCACCAGAGCAGAGGTTCCCCTGCAGCCCATCATGCAGATCACAGTGAGACAGGTTGTCCCGCTGCAGCCCATGGAGGTCCATGGGGAAACAGAAATCCACCTGCAGAACCTGGAGCACCCCACGCTGGAGAAGGTGAATGCCAAAAGCAGGCTATGATCCCATGAAAAGCCTGTGCTGGAGCAGGCTCCTAGTAGGACCTGTGGCCTCATGGGGACAGGAGCCCACACTGGAGCAGGTGTGCTGGCAGGACTTCTGATGCTGTGGGGGACCTATGCTAGAGCAACCTGTTCCTGATGGACTGCACCCCATGGAACTGACCCGTGCTGGAGCAGTTTGAAAAGAACTGCAACCTGTGGGAAGGACTCAGGTTGGAGAAGTTTGTGCAGGACTGTTTCCTGTGGGAGGGAAGAGGGGAAGAGCACGAGCTGTCCTCCCACTGAAAAGGAAGGAGTGGCAAAGACAACATGTGATGAACTGATTGTAACTCCCATTCTCCATCCTTCTGCCCCACTGGCAGGGGGAGATAGAGAAAATCAGGACTGAAATTGAGACCAGGAAGAAGGGAGGAGTGGGAGGAAGCTGTTTTAAGATTTGGTTTTATTTCTCATTATTGTACTCTGATTTTGATTGACAATAAATTAATTTTCCCCAAGTCAAGTCTGTTTTACCTGTGACAGTGACTGGTGAGTGATCTCTCCTGGCTCCTCTCTCAACTCATAAGGCTTTTGTTAGATTCACTCTTTCCTGTCCTACTGAGGAGGGGAATGATAGAATTGCTTGGTGGGCACCTGCCATCCAGCCACCACATTGATTGTAAAAAATTCAGGATCCAACACCTGAAAGCAAAACTATTTGAAAAACTGACAGTCTTAAAGTGAACCAAGAAATGGATCAAATTCTCACGCTATTTAGCTATCCAGAAAAAAAAAAAAAAAAGGAAAAAAAGTGATGGCTCTCCCACCACCTTTACACTGCCCTTTCATGACAATCCATTTGATAATTGCATCTTGCAGTGCACTGGTCATTAGTATTCCTATGAGTACTGAATATTAAACAGTAATGGTGAAAGTAATTACTGAGGTTAGCCTTGCCTCAGGATTGTTGCAGTGTCCTGACCTGGTGTTAATACTTTCCCTGCCCTTTGGCAACAGTCTATTACTCTTTTGAGTACAGCCGCCCAGCTGGATGTGTGTGCACTGTGAAGTCACATGTGGAATCCACATATTACCTGCAGTACAGGGGCGGTACAGATCTGCCCCATGTTTTTCATCCTGCAACACTCTGTGTTATACAAAGGGGTCACACAGTAGCTGCTACGCACCCAGAAGACAAGAGCTCCTTGCCTTAGGTCCCTTCTTGCTTCCTGCCTCTGTCTTAAGCCCCTTGCCCTTATTCCTCCCCACACAGACATTGTGATTTTGTGTTCGTTATCTGAGGGCTTATTTCCAAGTGCAGGCAGTTTTAATGGGCAGGCTCTTGAGTGTATCTACCAGGAATTCCACAGCATATGCAGACCAAAAACAGGCAGCAAAGCAAGTAATCTAGAAAAATAAGTACTTCAGCTAATAGCTGACAAGTGGCTAACTATGTAAAAAAACCGGAAACTTTCTACAGCTCTCAGATTCAAAAGGATGTAAGTTCCACTTTTACTTATGTTAGTAATAGCTCTTTCAAGTAGAATGCCCAAGAATGTGGTCTTGCTAGTTCAATTACACTTGATGGTTAAAGTTCTAGTTATGTGATTCTTGATTTATTTAATTTTTGCTTAAGATCAATGAAGATCCATTCTATCCACCTTTAAAACAAGATTTTTTTTCTGTCAATTAACACAGAAAGGTAGAACTCTTGACCTCATTATGATAGAAAGTAAGAACAACCAGCTTAATGAGAAAGAAAATATGCACAATTAAAACTGATGTGAGATCACAATAAGTCTCTAGACTTTACATTTGTGCCTGTGTGCAATCTGCAAAGAAAAAAAAGACTGGACATTAAAGCAAATATTGTTATAGTTGAATCCAGTTATTACTATAATGTCCACCATTTCCTGGTATAGGACTCCAAATTTGGTTGGTTATAATTTTGATAAATGCTAATTATTTTGAATGAAATTACTGATGTTGGATGTCTCTAGCGGATTGTTTTTTTTTGATTTGTCAGCTTAGTTATTGCAAGAAATGAAAAATAAATAATTCGATCTGATTTCTCTACAAGATTGTAATGCAGGTATGCTTTGGAGCATACTTTTCAAGTTTGTGAAGGCTCATTAGGTAGTGATACACTGCTTTCATTCCTGCCAAGTTTGGCCAACATAAACCAAACTAAACTAAACTAAACTATGTTCTTGCAACATTATTGCAGACATTATCTGAAGTTTGTGTGCCCTGATATATCTACAACCTGAGGCAAATCAGGACTTTCCACTGCAGTAATAGTGCTGGTCCAAGTGATCCACCTTTGATTTGGGTCTGACCATTGAAAATGAGTACCTGGAGCCGTTTGCCTGCACTGTCACTCGTGTTGCCTTCACTGGAGACAGCAGTGGAAGCTGGCTGAGCAGATTGCAGAGAAGTGGCAGCTCTGTTACTGCAGCAGGAGCTGGGCAGGAGTGCAGTGAAAATACAGCTGGCTTGTTAAGTGTAGTGGCAGACAGCGAATGGGAATGACGGTTGAGGTAGCTATAAAGCTGGGAGACAGGGACTAGAACTAAAATCCAGTGTATTCCTTCCTTTTGGAAAGAAAAAATATGGGGGGAAAAGGTGCACAGCAAATTGGGATGGGGCAAGGACACACCACAGGAGGTGGCAGAGGATTGAGAGTGATTTGGTATAGAGATTGTCTCAAACTGTCCCAAACCAGTCATAGCAGGACTTACTAATCAAGGAATTGGGAATAAAAATGAAAACTTTGAGGCATGGAGACAGAACTGGTTAGATGAAGAAACTGTGAAGACAGTGATGGGCAAGAAAGTATAGAGGCAAACCAAAGGCAGAAGGGCACAGCCTCCCAGAATGGTCCCCTCCCTGCCCTAGAACAAAATACATGAATTACTTATCCAGCATCTCTCCAATGCCATTAAAATCCACTGGCAGTGTCCTACTACTCTCTCATTCACATCAGATCACAAACAATTATTTTCTTTTTAAATTTTAAATTCTAGAGGTCAGCATCAGAGGTCTGTGCATGGATCAGAAAGTTACCATACTATGGTTGCCAAGGGGGAAGGGAGGGATTTTGTTGTGTTTACCTCTGTCCTCTTCCTTTTCCTGCAACAGAAGCTGGAGATGAGACAAACAGATGCAGGCAGACAATGTTTCTAAGACACTAAAGTTGTAGAAGTCCAGAATTTAGATTTTAGGAAATCTAGTTTTAGCAGAGCATATCTAATTTGGTTTACTTCTGCATGGATATGATGATACAGTCTTCACATGATCACATACTGTTTTTCTTTATGACTTGTTGTGCTAAAATCAACATTTATGTCTTTTCTGGACTGCTCCTTTTGTGACCCTGGAACTCATTCTTTCAAGTTTTCCCAGCCATTAACTAAGAATGGTTTTTCAAGATCCAATTTTTATTCCCCAACTGACTTTCTAAACATCTTCATAGATAAACTTCATAACAGACAAATTGTCCAGGGATGAGGTACTGATGCTGCCTGGCTAGGAACAGGTGATTTTTCTGTGTGGAGACACCAGAGAGGTCATATAAAAAGAAAAGTGAATTCTGTGATTACCAGACTAAATGATCCTTGGGAAGCTGTGAGATCTTTCCCTCTCACGCCAAGCAAGGGGCAGCTATACTTATGTTTTCCCATGAGGTAAGGTACCTTTCCTGTTCTTAAACACATCATGTGATAGACTTTTCCAAGCAGTCTGTCACAGTGCTTCACCAGCTTCACCATTATCAAGTTCCCCCTAAAGTCTAGCACAGATGTGCACTAAAATAGTCTAAGCTTGCTCCCTCATCTCCTGTCCTCATTGGAAATAGGGAAGATGCTATTCTCCTTGTAGCAGCTTGGTGAAGAAGCATATAAAGATGGGTTGTCATGTCCCACCCATCCAGAGTAACAGAATCACAAAAGCACATTGTAAAGTACTGGAAAAGAGGGACAAAATAAAGTTGTACAACTTCTGACACTGCGCATTGTCTTTTCAAACGTTTTGTTTTTTTTTTTCAGTATAGCTGTGAAGGTGTGGGGAATGGCCGGTGTTGAAATCTAGACCTTTATTACCAGTAACTGTGTGGCTGTGTTTAGATTTTCTCATGATCTGTGATTCATTGGTCACAAGCAGCAAAGTGTGGAGCCACTCAGCTATAGCAGTGGCCAAATCTGTCCCATCTGACAAGAGCAAGGTGGCACAGTTATACGGGTTGGGACAGATGGAGAAAAGGAACATTTTTCCATGCACAAAGAGCCAGGTAGCTGTTCCTGCTACCACTCCTGCTTCCACAGCATAACAGCTGATGGACTGTTGTCTTCTTTCCAACTCTCCACATTACCCATCTGCAGCTTTTGATCATTTTTCTTTCCTGGGGTTTTTGTTCTTTTGGAGGCTTCCATCATTCCAGTAGAAAAGGGGTCCAGCTCTGCTGAGTTAGGTGAGTACAGGTGTTTGCTGCCCCCACTGTACATACAGTGGCACATGTGGTGGGATCTCCACAGTCTTTAGATGAGGAATGGCCTCAGCGAACCAAGTTACAGAGCTCCTGCTTTAAAGGGGAATATACATGTTGAAAGCCTTCTGAATTTTGATTATAATAAAAAAGGTAAATATTTTGTGTTAGATATAAAAAGAAATAAAATAAACGTTGCTATGTCCTTCGATTAAAGATAGGTTTATAGATTCAGTGTCTTTACCTTCAAAGCAAAAGACAAAATTCTATTGTATTTTTAGGGGT